GGCCCCCAGCCAGGGTCAACCCCCCACAATGTCTCAGTTTCTCCATTTCTTTCAAATTGCATTTGAACTTGAAAATAAAGAATTTTCTGTAACCAAGCCTGATTAAAATTAACAACTCCTTTTTCCAAATACTTTAAAATGAACTACTAAACACACAAATATTTCAAGGACTATTCCTAAAAGGTATTAAGATGCTCCCACTGAATTCTGAAGTACCAACCATTGCTTCCAGATTTGAAGTAAAAACTCCAGTTGTACAGTCATGTAAAAATCATGTAAGTCTAAAATTGAAAGTTTAAAACTTTAGTTCTTTACAGTCTTATATCCAACAAGAAAGCAAAAACTTACTTATGCCCTCTTCCTGCCTTAACTTGAGAATAGTTAAACATTTCTAACACTGATTTCTACCCAATGAGTCCTCTGAAGAAATTTAATATAGATGCAAGTTCAAGGTGACTTTCAGAAGAAGTGATCATAAACTGCAAAGCCAAGCAACTTCTAGAATGAAGTGCTGATGTATGCATTCATGAGTTGTTCTTGTTTACCTTCATAATAATCAAGGAGTAATATTATTTAATTTTTTTTTAATGTTGACATTAAATGCAAATAGATCTTAACCATGTTCACATATTGTACAGCAAATATGAATTACATTAAAGCATTACAAGGTGATAAAAGGTTGGAAGGCAATACAATTCCAGAACCCCTGCAAAACAAGCACAGTTAGAGGCTTCACAGTGAGTTAATAAAAGTAAACAAAATTCCAATTTAATATTGATTTAGTATCAATAGCCTAAAGCTACTTGTAACTTCCAAGATGACACAGACATAAAAGAAACCTAGGAAAGCACAAGTAGAAGTTATACTTTGTAGCACTCCTTCCCCAAGCCAAAGCAAGTACTAAAAGGATTAATTATCCCTCCCTGAGTAAGCTTCCAATCTTATATGGCAAAAGTCTTTAGTGGCATCTCATCCTTAATTAGTACAGACATGGGAATTAACTTGATACTAGCCACACTTTTAAGAGTAAGACATCTACAAATTTCAAGGTAAGACAGAGATTACCTGTCCCATGATCCCGTCACAGACAAGAGACAAGACAGGTAAGAAAGCCACCTTTATGGAAAAGCTCTACAATGTACCAAGTGGTTAGCCACTGAGAAGTGCTCTAGAGGAGACGTCACCAACCAGCAAGCAGCCTCAGGGCTGTCAGAAAACAACTAACAGGAATCATAATTGTCACCATCTAAGCAAACATAGCTTGGTCTGATAGCAATATGGAAGACATGCATCCTGCGGTCAAGAGATGTAAAGCAATTTTCCTCCTGCTCAGTCAGAATCATCTCAGGCAAGTTCACCAGACCCAAACTGGCACACGGTACTGTTCACTGTTAGTCACCATAGTCCTTTTTGCTTTAGAAGAAAAGCAACTGTTAAGCTTTCCTTAAAAAAAAAATGCAAGTTGCTTTACTACTTACACATTCCAGAGCCAACTACAACACAGCATATGGAGAATTTAAAAGCCTTATTCCTTTTAAAAAATATTAACTTTAGCAACTTGCTTGTAACTTCGTCAGAGACAGTGCATGTATAACTCAAGTACACATTTGGCTGACAACCTAAAAATGTTACTGAACAAAATACTTTAAGGAAGTTCCCAGAGAAAATTCTAATTCAAACTAAAAATGTGGGTTAAACTTGATTATTTTAGAGTACCTATTGAATGTGAACTTATCTGTAAGGGCAATGACTCTTAGACACCACTTGAAAACATTCACTAAAGAAAAGATGTAGACAAATACTTAAAATAGTTGTACCAAGATATTTTTAGTAGAGAAAAAGAATAGAAGGGACTTGGGAAAAAAAAGTGGTAAGAGAATGGTTTGGGGAAAAAAACAAGCTACAGATGCAATAAAGGAGATATATCATGTTTAACAGTTTCCTTCTCCATACAGCAATTAAATTAGAATCTTTCACAGATTCTGCTCTCCCATCGTCCCCAGGAAAAGGACGTCAACCTATGCCAGAACATCCACAAAACCTGGCTCCAAGTCTTGACTGAATCAGGCTGTGGATTTGTAAAATTACCTCCTATATCAAGAAAAAACCAGGCTCATTAGTGGGTATTCTGAATAGATGTGACTAATACCAAGTAAAGTCTTTCCTCAGAAGCATCTTCCATGAGGGATGTAATTAATTGTTTTTTCAAAAATAATCTCCATTTGAAAAAGACAACAGCTTTGCTAAAAACTTCCATTTATTCACCTCTAAGAAACCAATCTTCCTGCCAGTGCTGGTAGATGGGAAGTATGAGTTTATGGAAGCAGGCCCAAAGAAGACAAAGTTTTATAAGAGAAATTAAAAGATTTTCATGTAATAACACAGCAAGGAAAGAACAACGCAACACAGATAAGACAGAACAGATGTGTGCTAAAACATGAATTATGCATCTATGATTATTACATGAATATATAAAAGTGATAAAAACCTAGGTACACTTAAAGATTATTTCAAGGAACACTCATAAGGAAATTACCTATCGGACAGAAATCATATCTAAGTTCACTGACTAAGTTTTAATATCCTGAGGACTGATATCCTCATTAGAATGGGCATTAGAATCGCATGCAATATTCCAGGTCTGGCCCAAATGACTAGCTGACAGCAAAGTGAAACACTTCCATGCCCAGTTTTAAACTATGTTTTTTTCCTGTGATAAGAAGATGATGTTGCAATATTGAATATACATACTGCTACCCATTTGGAGTCACCAATTTTCAAACAGCTTTCTACGTCCAATTACATTTTCTATATACATACGCACATATTTAAACTTCCTCCTTTACCAAATCTAGAATATTTTAGGATTTAAAATTCATTGTACTGTTTAATAACTGCTCTCATCTTACTAGTCCATCAAAAACAGTCTCACTTTACCACATCATTTGTACCCTGCCAAATGCAGTAATGGAAACAAGGGATTAATGCTCATCTACCTTTAACCATTAAAGTTTCAAATGAATAGGAATTCCCACTACCAACCTGACCTTGCACTTCTCCAGTTCGTTTATATTTTAAAGCAGTAAAACGACTTTCCTTATATGACTAAAAGTTATGCAAAAATATTAACTGGCTGGTGGTTTCTTACATCATTCTACAACTTTAGGAAAGCCAAGTGTTTACCTTGAATGTCGAACTACATGCAATGTAGCACAGGCACAATCACCTGGCAAAGGCCCTATAAGCCTTCCAGAAACTAGCTAGGGAACTTAGGTACTTCAGGAGAATTGCTCCTTCAGCTAACATGCAGATTGGGTACCCATTTTAGGCAGACAGATCTGGTAGTTCAGATTTATTTTTGGCTTCCTTAAAGTCACGCCTATGTATTTTAAGAGCTAGAGAGGATTTTCTTTTTCCTCTGTTGAATGAAGGATTGATAAGACCAATTTTTCCTCTCAAAAAAAAAAAAAGCATTTTGTTGGCATACTCTAGTCAGTAGCAGTACTTGTCTGTGAGGTAACATTTGCTTGAATAAATGGGTATTATTGCATCCAAAAATGAGAGTTCAGTCATTATTTGTGCCTATTTTGAAGTATGTTTTGCTACTATCAACTAGCAGAATTAGAGCACAAGTAGACCTAATGTGTCTTACTACCAAAGGGGTATGCTTGTCTACTCACATGTAGTCATTGCAAGATTGGTATATTCAAATACATACTTTGCAAAGATATTAAAGCTTATATTTACAGAGTCAATTACAAGTCTTCTATTTGTATTATGTATGTTGCTCTTTATTAACAGAAAAAATTGCATCTTAAAAGTCTTTATAGCATCAGTAGTTTTATTCTACTTTTTAAACATGAAGCATGTCAATCTGTCAGCTTAAAATAGTATATTAACATAGTTAACTACCTGCGGGTCCGTGGAGGCTTTGGTGGAGGAGAATCCTGTTTCTCAGCATCTGAAGAACTGACAGCATTCTCTGTATTATTTTCATCCTGATTAAAAGAAAAAGTTTTCATTCATAGCTGTAAAGCTGATACATACAATACTTAATCTGTAAGGTCGAAAGATCTATAATGATACTTGAAAATAATGTATGACAATATTACATATTTTTGTCTATCATAGAGAACACTTAAAGTTACATACAGATTAAATTCTACTCTAAATTCACACTATTATTTTATATTTTGTGCATCCAACTTCAATTTTTTCTGATTAAAACATTGTTTCACATGTAATTGTATAATCCACTAGAGAGAACTCTCAAAAGCTATTTTTTCGGGTTAGTAGTGAGCAAGCTCCCTTATGCCCTCCAAATTATTCCTACTGAAGTCATTCTTTTTCCAGTCAGTCTAATTATTTTCACTTGCACAATCAGTCCATTGAAGATAAGACTAATCTACAGTGCAGCAGGAAAAGGAGAATTTCAGCTACTGTAATTTGACAAGTGGACAAGATTTAATGCATTGTTCTAAAACATTTTCAAATCATCTTCTATTTGCATGCAATGAAGTTTAACTTACTCAGCAAAGCATGAAGATTTTTATTTAATTTCATTTTAGGAGTACTATAAATATAAAAGATACATTTCATATGTGTATATGTTTATTAATATATGTATCCATACACATCTATATGTATACACATATAAACTATTGTTGTGGGCTAACCCTGGTAGGCAGATAAGCACCACAAAAGCCACTTGCTCACTTCTTCCCCTTCCCCATCCCAGATGGAGGAAGAAGAAAGGAAGAATGAAAGCAAGAAAACTTGGGGGGCAAGATAAAATTGTTTAATCAGCAAAGTGGGAGAAGAGAGAAAGAGCACACACACAACCAGTGATGCAAAAGCAATCGTTCACCACCTCCCACAGGTAGACCTACGCCCAGCCAGGTCCTGAGCAAAAGATGCCTAACCTCACTGAAGCCCACTCTTTTCCCTCTTTATGGCTGAGCATGATGTTATATGGTGTTATGGAATATCTCTTTGGTTAGTTCAGGTCATCTGCCTGGTCATGTCCTCTCCCAATCTCCTGCGCACCCCCAGTCTATTCACTGGGAAGGCAGAGTAAGAAACACTGTGCAAACATTGTTCAGCAATAGCTGGAACATTAGTGTGTCATCAGCGTTGTTTTGGTCGCAAATCTAAAACACAGCACCCCAGAGTGGCTATGAAGAATATTAACTCCAATCCAGCTAGACTCAGTACAAACATCTACAAATGCATATGTAAACAAATGAAAACAGAACATGCAAGAGCCTAAAGCTGATATACCCATTTCCATACACATGCCACAGCCAAAGACCCAACAAAACCAAGGAGGACCTGAGTGTTGTCTTGAGTTTAATACATATTTTAACTAAAGGCTTTTCTTGCAGGAGTTTTCTTTTGAAAAACAATTTAAAAAAAAGAACCACAAACATCTCAAATCTGTGTAATATACTTCAAAGCACAACACCAGGTTCATGCAACAGGGCCTACCACCTGCCAGCCTACCTGTTCAGATTGGGTGACAGAGACGGACCTTCTCTGGTTTTAAAAAACAAAAGGGAATTCCCTGTTAATTTCTGCTTCAAATATAATAGTTGCACTTGAATTTGGTAAGCATTTTCAGCTTTGTAAGATAAGCAATACATAAGTTATCTCAACAGCTAACTACCCTCACTTAAATTTACATTCATTAATTACATGTTTTTAATTTCCATTACTAGGTTTAAAACAGTTATCATATCACTGTCTGCTAGCACGAAGAATCTATTACAAAATTCTACTCCTCAGTGTTAAGTGAAACTTTTCCTGTGAAGAAAAAAATTAAGTCTTTTAATCTTTCTTATTGTTCTTCCTAACCCCCCCATTAACTAGCTGTCCAATACAATATTCCAAAAGTACTCCATCAGAAATACCCTATTGTTGCTATACTGATGGCTTGTGCTAGCCCTTTCAGACAAACTACACAGGGAGTTCATTGTCCTGCTGACCACTGGCTGTAACTATAAAGTTGTTTTTTCTAGTGAGATTCAATTAGCAGATAAAAACCACTTTGCATTTAGATGACCACAACTGAAGCTCCCACTGCAGTCAGCCAAGGTTGGTTGGTGTTCATAGACTCACAGAATAGTTTGGGTTGGAAGGGACCTTTAAAGGTCATTTAGTCCCACCTCCCCTGCAATGAGCAGGGACATCTTCAACTACATCAGGTTGCTCAGAGCCCTGTCCAACCTCACCTTGAATGCTTCCAGGGATGGGGCATCTACCTGCCCCTCTGGGCAACCTGTTCCAGTGTTTCATCACCCTCATTGTAAAAAAATTTCTTCCTTTCATCTAGTCTGAATCTACCCTCTTTTAGTTTAAAACCATCACCCCTCAGTGTATCACAACAGGCCCTACTAAAAAGTTTGTCCTCATCTTTCTTATAAGCCCCCTTTAAGTATTGAAAAGACACAATAATGTCTCCCCAAAGCCTTCTCCAGGCTGAACAACCCCAACTCTCTCAGACTTTCCTCATCGGAGAGGTGTTCATCCCTCTCATCATCTTTGTGGCCCTCCTCTGGACTCCCTCCAACAGGTCCGTGTCTTTCCTGTGCTGGGGACCCCAGAGCTGGATGCAGTACTGCAGGTGGGATATCATGAGAGCAAAGCAGTGGGGCAGAATCACCTCCCTCTTTCTGCAGCTCTGCTGCGAACTAGGTTTATAAAACATTTCATGTACTGGGTTTTGTATCATTCTAGCTTTTTAATAAAAAACACTGGCTGCAAGTCAAGCACCTTCAGAGATTTATTGCATCAGCACTACCTTAACAATCATTCTCGGAGAAAAGTGCTGTCATCAAGACATAAGTGTTCAAAAAGTTACTGTCCGAAAGAGTAGAATGACAAAAATGGCTAATGAGACATTAAAAAAAAAAGTATTAGAAATACTAGGCTTGATCTGTAAACTGAATGCAGGATCTTGTTATTTTATCTAGGAACAAAGTTACCCTTTTAAGTCCTTTGTCACTTTTCCACGACTTACCCAAAAACATTAAGGGCTCAAAGAACTTTTAAAATCTAGCTGCAAACTATTGCAGACATGCTAATTTTTTTAAAAACACAACAAACCCTCATATTTTTTTTTATGGTCATTGATGGAATGAAACATTACCATGGGACATGGACATCCAACCCCTCTAACAAACCTCCTCTAAAATATGCAGAAAAGCAATTTCCTGTTTTTTTGACATCAGGTAATGGGTGACTGTACAGACCGTCTTGCCCTTCACATACATGAAAATTAATTTTATTGCCCTCATTCAGGCGGAGAACCATTCTGAAGGTTGGTGCCAAAGATGCTGAGGTTCAGCGTATCCAACAGCAGAAACTCCATTTTCTGCTAAATGGTTGTCATGTTCCTCCCGCCTTCCCTCAGTTGTGCAAAGTAAACCCTGAGTCTCTCCCATAGGTAGTCCTTACCATGGGTAGCCCTAAATGCATTGATATTGTACTAAAAAGGCTGGCCTTAATCATGAGTACTAGCAACTAGTGTTAGAGAGTACTGTGACTGCATCCTGAGAACAGAGCAGGCTGTTTGCCTGTTTCAGCACCACAGCACATCCACGTTTCATAAGGCAGAGAGATATAAGAGTGAGGCAGACTCCACGGGAAGAGTTCCTCCCCCTTACCACCAACTTCTCCATCCTACAACAGATCAGAAAAGCATTCCAGTTCGGTACTGCCAGCATAGAAGTTTTGAGGAACAGATTTCTTATTTACGTGCTCAGTTTTCTAAAAGGTACTGGCAAGGGAAAGAGTCTTCATCACAGCCAACGGGCATACCAACTTGTCCAGAAGACAAACCAGCAGCTGCATCCCTGTCCTTCTATGTTTGCAAAGTGACGTGCTTGTGAACAGAATGTTTCCTGAGATACACTTTTCTCCCATGCGGAAGAAAATGTCTATTAAAGAAGCTAACATATGCCAAAGTTTTTTTAAACTCTACGTATACAGTAAGAAACTGTTTCTAGTTGAGACAGGCTGAAGAGGGACTGCCATTTTTGATACTAGTCATAAAACGTATGGCTATACCTTGCAAAAATACATATAAACTCAAATATCTGAAACACATACACAACCACAGAGAGTTTACAAAACCAATTCCTTAAAAAAAAATTAAAACACCCAACCAAAACCCCCAAACATACACAGGCAAAATGGTATTTTTAAATTCAACCCCAGAAGAGAAGTCAGTGGTCACCCCAGCTTCATACACTGGGAAGGCTTCAGGCAGATATGTGTTCAAAAGCTTTCACTTCTGCATTAGGTTAAAATCAGGATCAGTTGACTCTGTTCTAGTCACATTAAATCAGGAGCAAGACTGTTACAGGAATTATTGTCACCAAAACAGAGGTACTTCACTACTTTAATTAGCTCAATGGACTGATGTTTCTGTGAAGCCTTCATTTACTTTTAAACAACTCATTCCCAAGTAAGTGAAGGATTTTTACTTCAAAAGTTAATGATGATAACAGTTTAAGGCAGTAACCAAATGCATTAACCCATGCAGGAACGAAAACAGTGCTCATATCAATTTCATGCTGCTACAGCATTTTTAAGTAATCGTGCTCAGTTACTACTGGATCCCTTCTTGTTTTAAACTGAGGCAATACTCCTCGCTGAACTCTTGGAGCAAGTCCATTACTTGCTCTCAGTTCCATGTCACGAGAGACAGTGAACAACCGGTATTTTGAGCACCCTCAAGTGACCCCAACTCACAGATTTCCCCTTCTGTCATATATCAAAATAAGTGAACTGGCAACCATGTAGAACAACTAGCATGGAGTAGAACAGAGGAAGCTCAACTGTAAAAGCAAATGTAGGGTATCTCACAGGGATGACATCATCCGTCGAGAAGAGCAGATGGCAGTATTAAGAAAAAGCCTTCCAGCCTTCCTAATCACAGCTTATTGGCATCAGTCACTCTCTTGCTTCTCTAGATAGATGTTGCATTCTCAGGCAC